CCAGCTGGTCAGAATACTAATCTTCCCGGCAACCCCTTGAGAACACTAATGAAGGAGGCCCCAAGTGGAGAAAATGAGGCACGAGCCAGTCCGCAGGAGTGAGGCCGTATTGATTCACCAGTGTAGGACTTCTGTCCTGGCGCTTGATGGAAGGAACAACATGTCCGAGAAGCAAATAGCTGAGCTGCTTCAATAGCCCCCTGCCTTCCCTCCGTTCCTTTCCAGCCTCGTGTTAAGACAAAGGCCTAAATGTAGATGCCAGAAGTCCTACCTGAGCAGATACTGGCTTGGCTGTAGGTAGTGTTGGGAAAATTTGGATAAATCCTGTCTGAAAAGCATTACTTCTGTGTGCTTTTTTGCATTGTGGGATCAAATTCTGTCTTCCTTCTCAAAACCAAGCTGTCACTGTTTAAAATGGCATTCCCCCACTCCTTTCTCTCACCTTTAGCTGTAAGCTACAGTAGACAGGCCATTTTAGTCTAAATATACATTGTAAATAGTCATTGTTGGAATTCAGTTTACAAGGAAGTATCTTTTTATAGCCCAGAGGCTCCATGTGCCCTGGCCAATTCAGAATGTTAGAGTAGATAAGAGTCTTGAGTTCATGCATAGTTTCAGTAGCTTGAATTTACATGTCTAAGCAGACCTGGAGACGGGTTCAAGCTACTGAACTAAAGTGTCAATACAGGCAATTAGAAATATTGTAAAATCATTGTTACTGTGTGATTGACTGACATTTCTTTATCTGTTCTTTATGTGATGACCTCAGAATCTTATTGTAATCTCTGCATTCTGTCATCAATTTTCCTGTACCTGTATGTGACTGGGAGTGTATAAAAACTCTCTAGCTGTGTTGATGCTTAGCAGCAGAGTTCACTCTGCCTGCCTGGTAATGCATTATCATGAGTATGGACCCGCGGGGAACCTGGGTAAAACAATAAAGCCTCAGATGGTTTGATGCTTGATCTTTCCCACGAACCCAAGTTTTATTCCCTCTTCTCAAATTGAGATTCTGGGATTCTGACAGTAGCCAAGTCACTGGCTGAGGCTAGCAGGGATTGTGGCCAACGCTGGAAAGGTAGGTCTCACCTTGCCAATATTGGTTCAGGTGCTGGACTGGGAACTGGGACATCCAGGTTCTCGTCCATGCTTGGCTGGGATTTGGGCCAGCTCTCAGCCCAGCCTAGCTGTTGCAAATATAAAATGGAAAGTGGGAGGAAGATTAGGTATCTGTCTTGGGTTCTCTGCATGGAAAAAGGTGGGATATACATATAATGACTATGTATAGATTTTAGCATTCTTCTTTTGGAATTATTTTCATCTCTGTGAGTGCTCTCCAACTGGGACAGCATCATTCTGTCAAAGCTAAGTATCAATTTCCTCCCCAGGTAAGAGAGCAGGCTTGCTTTTATAACCAGCCCCTTTATTAAGATGAGGTGGTGAAAAGGCACCTCCTCTTTGGGTTCCCCTTTCTGTCCTCTGCTCAGCGTTTCTTTCCGTGGCCTCGGGTCTTGGCCTCTCGACTCTTGCTCTTGCTCCTCCGCCGGCTCCCCCAGGAGCAGGATCTGATGAGGGAGACAATCTTGCTGGGCTTCCGGGTTGCACCTGCAAAGATCCAAGAAGACTACAGAGAAAGGGGCTCAGGTGGCATGGATAAGATAATCGAATAAGGAAGGAACAAATATCTAATAGGACAGTAATGAGAGCTGAGAGAGAAGGCTTGGTGAAGGACAAATAAAAAGTGCACTCTAAACTTAATTGGTAATTGTAGTTCTCAAAGAAGGGACAAAGGAAGCCAGCCTTTCCCAGATGGGTGCCTTCCAGATATGTTGGACTGCAGTTCCCATTGACCGCGGTGGCTGGGTGGTGGGAGTTATAGTCCAATAGCTCTGGAAGGGACCAGCTGGGGAAAGGCTGGCCTAAACAGATGTATCAGCATTTTCAGAGAACTACAGTTCTCACAATTCTTTGCTCTAGCCAGAACTGACATAGCATTGCTACAGATTCTACCAGTGACAGATGGAACGGAAAGGAAAACCTGGTACAAAAATGATTTGTGAGTGGGGAGAGAGAAGTGAACAGACAGGGTTTGGGTTTGATGATGAACTGAATGAGTGATGTGGGAAATGGGTAACTGGAGGGAAGAGCACACAACACCGGAGTTTTATGCGCTCCTTCCTACCTGAGATGAGAACTGCTGAGCCTCCCGCAGGCCTAGGAGCCCTGCCTTTTATGTGAAAATCTTGCTCTTCCACAACATCAGAAAAGTCAGAAAGGAAATTTCCAGTGGAACATGCGAGATCCATGCAGGTGCTCTACAGAAGCTCTTTTATTACTTTGCAAAATCTCAGAATGTTCCTGTCATTGGAAACTGGGTTCTGGAGCACCACCACACTGGCTAGGGATGATGGGGCTTGCAGTTGACTCTGGAAGACACCAGTTTTGGGAAGGCTGCCCTAGAACAGGGATGGGCCACAGGATCTGATGTTCTGGCCTACACCTGCTGTGATCCCTGAGCATCAGCTGTGCTGGCTAGGGCTGCTGACAGTTTTGGTAAGCCTAAACATCTGTAGGGCCACAGGTTGCCCACCCCTGCCCTAGGAGGACAAAAGGACAGGTGTAAAGAACAGGTGCCATGTATTGAAACTGGATGGACAATAGCGTGGCCACCTGGCAACAGCTGGTGTGTGAAGATTGCCTCTTATTGTTAGAGAAGCTGAACTGCCCTCCCAGCAGCAAAGCAGGGCCAAAGCTTGTTATCAGCTGCAGGAGGGAGCTCAGCGATAAAGCAGCCAAAGAGCAGTGGCCTCTTTTGTTGGGTGAGATTTGGCAGGGTTTATTCTAAGTGTTGTTTTTCCATTGCACTTGAATCTGCTTCAACCCCCCACCTTGTCCTCAGGGTGTGAGCACGTCCCAGAATTTTTCTCATGGAAAACAATAAAAAGATGGAAGTTTATATTCCCTACTGCACAAAAAGGTAAGTTTTCACTGCACAATGTTCTTTTTACAGTTGCACAAAAATATGTCCAGATGCCCTTTAGAAAAAATCCTGCTATTTGGCACCTCCTACCTCTCCGGGGAGACTTCCTTCTGCTTGTTCGACTAGCTCTGCTGCTCTTACTGGTTTTCCTGAAACAAGAACAGCCTGTCAGACTGTTTGATCCAATCATGCCTCAGATTCCTTCCAGGCATCATGGAAAATTTCTCCAACTTTGCATTCCTAAGTGACTTTGGTCAGGCACTTTTTACAGTTGCAAAATCCATGTTAGGATACAGAGCCATGCTTGCTTGTAGAAGCAGCATTCCCCATCCCAGTGCTCTCCAGATACGTTAGAGATGTGCTGAGTGGGATGGGTGGGAGCTGTATTTTGGCACACACCTGGAAGACACCTAGCTGAGGCAGCTGCTTTAGAACCATGCAACCTTCTTTCATTAATCTCCAATGCGATGCTCACAAATGGTAAACTAAAATCCCAGAAAAGTTTCATCAAAGTCTGAAATTCAGTTTCAGTCTTTGAAATTCCAGCTTTGGGTGTTTTAAAACTCAGTTTTGCATACCACAAAACAAACTATCTTCAGTCTGGTTGCAAAAGTGTAGAGGTATCATGTTACTTGCAAAGTCCATTATTTTGCACCAGCTTTTCTCCTATGTGGTGTCCTCCAGAAACCCTTAGACTCTCTGTCTCATCACCCCCACCAGCATGGCCAGTAGTCATGATCCACAGTTCCTACGGCCATTGATGTCCTTCTTCCCTGCATCTACTCTGCATGTTTACCTGGGAGTAACTTCTTCTGAACTCAGTGGGGCTTATTTTTGAGTAAACATAGAATTGCATTGTTAAATTATTGGTATTTTGATATTGATATAAAAATATTGATATTGATTTGCATCATGCGGATTTGATCACCGTTGAATGTAGCATTGGTCATGCTGAGGAGCACGCTGGCCAAGAGAGGGCTCTGAATTCATATTAGTCTTGATCAAAGCAAGCACCATTCCTAGTGCCATGTGTGAAAACCGCCATATTTTGCTCAGCAGAGTAGCCCGAGTGCTTCCGAATAGGAAGGCAGTCTTGATCATGGGATGTTTACAGGCTAAGCTGACCTCTGTGGTTTCTAAGGGGGGAGCCAAGTGAGAGTGGAAGATTTTGTCTTTGGTACACCTGCGCCCCAAGCCTGGTTTCATGGCACTGGGGCAGCCTGGCATATTCAGATCACTGGATAGCAGGTCAGACCTGTCTAAGGATCCAGCAGAGTGGATAGAGCCTTGGACTAGGACTCTGGAGACCTGTGTCCAAGTCTCCACCCCGCAGCCATGAACCTCATGGAGTGACTTTGGGCCAGGCCCTGATTCTCAGCCTAACCTACTTCACAGGGTTGTTGTGAGGATAAATTCAAGAGGAAAAGGATTATGTAAGTCGTTCTGAGGTGTCAAGGCAGGATATAAATATAATTAAAATAAACTGAAATATTGCATAGGGGTTACATTTATTTCTTGGCTTTTCCCCACACAGCCCTCATGTTTCCACAGAGGCAATGCTCATGCTTATTCCCCCTCGTAGCACTTTATTCTTGCACCTGCCAAGCAGGGAGGCAAATGGTCCTGTTGGATGCCTGAGGTTATTTGAAGAGGAGGCACTTCCCTACCCATTGCTCCTCACCCGCTCAGAAATGTATGTGGCTCCTTCTTTCCCCTTCCCTGAGCTCTTTTGCTGCTACTGCTCTCCTACTAACAAGTCTGCAAGGTGGATTAGGCGAAAAGACAGAGATTGGCCCAATGTCCACCCGGTGAGCTGCATGGCCAAACAGGGCTTGAACCTGAGTCAACACATAAAAACGTAAGAAGAACTAGGCTGGATCTGCCCAGCATCCGGTTATGCTCCCACCGCTAGGCAAGACTGGGTCTCAGAATCTGTCCTTGCCTAAGTGTCACTCAGGGTTGTCTGTCCTTTCCTTTCTGGAGCATGTCGACTGGGATCCTGCAGTGCAAAGCCACCCGACTAGTACCTGCTTGTTGAAGGGCTGCTCCATATCCTCTCCTTCCCGCTGCTGCCGCTACTCTTACGGCTGGGAGGCCTCTCCAAAGGCTGTGCCAAGCCCTCTGCGGACGGGTATCTGTAGAAGTCTGGCGCCTGTCCTTCACTGGGTGCAGGAGAGCGGCAGGGGCCACGGGAGCTGCGCTGGCTCCCCAGGCTGCGCCTGCTCCGGGCATCTTCCTGCACAGGGCTCAGCACTCCCGAGGGCGAGTAGACACTCTGGATGCTCACGCCGTCTTCTAGGTTTAGGGATCCTGGTGGGCTCTGCAGAAGGCAGGGCATGGGACAGTCAGCGCCCAGAAAGACCCCTTATTCACGCACCAGTGAGAGCAGGAGCACCTGGTCTCTTCAGAGCAACCCTGGGTGGCCTCACGCCAGGGGTGCAAGAGCAGAGGCAGAAAGGGCAGGGCGACCCCAGGCCACTGTCTCTTAAAGCTCTTGCTGCCAGCAGCACAGCAGCCTTTGGTGAGGCATTTCCATCTTTCAGAAAAGAGATGCAAAGGCTGGGGGGGGGAGGCTGAACCCCTGGCCTGACCTGGGCTTCTGCAGGGGCCAGATGTGGCTTGCAACACTCAGGTTTGGCTTCTCCAATCTACAGAATGTTTCCGAAGTACCCAGCAGAGCGTGTACCTTATCACGACATTTCTCACAAGAGAGGTAGGCCACTAAGTAACCCAGAGGCCCCATATAGTCTTCCTCCTTCCTTCAGGCAGACCATGGGAAACTCCGTATTACTGTCTGCAAGAGCAGAGACAGAAGCAGCGTACCTGTGGCCTCCGGGGAGGGGCCTCCCCGTGCTCCCTCGGCTCTTTGGCCCTGCTGTGCAATTCCAGTGCTGAGTCTGACGGGGGCCGCAGCATGTTGACCACCTTGACCCACAGGGCGAAGACGTCCTCCCTTACACCAGGCTGGAGGCAGAGCTGCAAGTAGAAGGTGCGTCCGCTGGCCAGTTTGAACCGCAGCTGCTTCTTCTCTGCATTGTGAACCGAGATCTTGACAAAATGCAGAGGGAGTAGCCTGTAGGGAGAGGATGGAAGCACCCAGAGAGTTTTCGCTTTAAGAGTGCCTTTGGATTCTGTAACTGCCATTTTTGTAAAGTTTACTCGTTGACTGATTTATTTGTTTTAAAATATTTATACACACTTCCCATTTCAAAAATCCTGAACCCACTTAGTACAAATTATAAAATAGTGGATCATTATAAAGTCACAATGACTTTTACCCAAGGCAGTGACTGAGAAAAGCCGAGGTAACCACTTTTTAAATAACTGTTGAAGTTGCATGATCTTCAGAGAACTGACATTTCACAGAAAGGAGGTTGTTTCAGTTGGAGGGTGCCACCACCAAGAAAGTCTTTAGACAATGCTGCCAGAAACAGCCCTTCAGGATATTGCATGATAGCAAGACTCCCTGAAGATCCTAGTCATTTAACTATTATATAGTCTATTGTATCCTAGTCATCGCACAAGTCTACTGTATGAAAAGGCAGAGTTTGACCACTTGACCACAGAGTTTAAACATTTGAAGTCTACTGCTACCTAACTGTTGTCCAACATGGGTTTTGTAAAATGTATTAGATTAAAGCAACCATGCTGGGCATTTTAGGCCTTTTTCTGTAAACATGCATAAGATTGTGCCTTTGTTGATTTTTTAAAAAAATCCAATATAATTTAAGAATGCCCTGTATCATATGCTTGTATCATGCTCCAGTTGCTCCAAATGCTTTACACACATTTTTGCAATAATCTACACGATTGTGCATGCTCGAATCAGTGTAACCTAACCTTCCATTACTTCAGATGGTGGGCAGGAGGGTGCAGTGGGGCTGATGCTGGAAGCTGACAATGGCCACCTTCTGCAGCCGTTGTCCAGACAGTATTTTGAACCAACAGTCGTTCACACCTCGCTTGCTCTCAATAATACTGATTTCTGCCTGAGACTCCCAGGTTGGGAGTCACTTAATGAGCTACCAGAGAAGAACAAAGGACAAGTATGACTAGTGCTGTCGCTAATGATGCAACTAGATCAAAGCCAAAAGGAAGTCTCATGGCTGACATGGACAGAGGTGAAAGGAAAGTCTGATGTTGCACAACACATACAATTGTAACATGAAACGTGAGAAGTATGAATCAAGGCAAAATAGAAATCATACAAGAGGAAATGGAACAGTTAAACATCCCCATACTTGATTGAGCAAACCAAAATGGACTGGAGAACCAGTGTGGTGTCGTGGTTAAGAGCGTGGGACTGGGACTCAGACGACCTGGGTTCTAGTCCCCGCTCAGCCATGGAGCCAATTGGGTGACTTTGGGCCAGTCACAGACTCTCAGCCCAACCTACCTCACAGGGTTGTTGTTGTGGGGATAAGATGGAGGAGGAGAATGATGTAAGCTGCCTTGAGCCCTTTGTAGGAAAAAGGCAGGATATAAATCGAATAAATAAAATTTTCAATCAGAAAATGTGTGTTAATCTGGAAATGAAAAACACAGACGAACTGGAGCTGCTCTAATACTAGGGCAAGACATAATACAGGCTGTAAGAAGGTATGATACAAAATTCAACCAAATATCAGAATTTGTGGAAAACCTATCAACACAACCATCACACAAATCTATCTTCCATGAATAGATGCCAAAGAAGGATGAGGACGACGAGGATGAGGACGAGGAGGACAAGGACGAGGAGGACGAGGTTAAGCAGGTTCAAGAGGAAATTGATTTCACACCGTAACAAGATGTGCTGATAATCTTAGGTGACTAGAATGCAAAAGTAGGAAACAAAGCAGAATTAAATGTTGTAGGCAAATTTGGCCTCGGGTCAAGAAACAAAGCAGGAGAATAACTCACAGAATTCATACTTCAAACAACCAATTAGATGACTGCGTACATGGATATCACCAGATTGCCAATACAGAAATCATATAGACTGTGTAATTGGAATTAGAAGATGGAGAAGCTGTGTTCTCACTGCCAGAACAAGACCAGGGGCAGATTGCAGTAATGACTAGGAATTCTTAATGTCAAGAATGCCAAAGAGTTAAGCTAAAAAAGATCACCAGCAGAAACACAGAGCCAAAATATAACTTAAGTTACATCCCTGAAGAATTTAAACTCCACATAAAGAACAGATTTGCATTGCTTGACTTAACTGACCATGAGCCAGAAGAGCTGTGTGCTGAAACTGGAGAATTATTAGGGAAAAGTGCCAAAAGACAATTCCTGTAGCAACAAGAAAGAAAAGGCCTGGCTGGATGACTGAAGAAACACAGTTGCTAGGAATAGTTAAGAAGCAAAAGCAAACAGTAAAAGAAATAGGGTCAGAATCCTGAATGCATCTTTTTATCAGCAATCACATAGAAACAAGGACCGGTGCAAAGAAATAGAAGAGAACAACAAAGGAGGACAAATAAGAGAGCTCCTTCAGAAGATCCAAGAAATCAAGGGGAAATTCAGACCTAGATTAGGAATGTTAAAATGTGGGGGGGGGGCAGATGGGGGACACACGAACAGATGGGGGACACACTATCTGACCAGGAGAAAATAAAGAGAAGGTGGACAGGATATAAATAACAATACAGCTGAAAGGTTGATAGATTCCTTCAAAGAGGAATTCTATGAAGAAGAGCCTGCAATATTAGAAAGTGGAGTGAAAGCTGCTCTGAAAGGAGTGAAAATTGGTAGAAGACACATCAATAATTCAGATTATACCATATTACTGGCAGAAAACAATAATGAATTGAAATGACTCCTTATGAAAATGAAGGGGATCCAGACCACAGTTGAATATTGAAAAAACAAAATCATGACTACAGAAGAATTACAGAACTTTACTGTTAAAAATGAAGAAATTGAAATTGTGAAAGACTTTACATACTCCATCTCAGCCATCTATTCAAATGGTGACAGTAGCCAAGAAATTTGAGACTGAGGCTCGGAAAGAGCAGCAAGAAGGAACTAGAAAAGATCGTCAAGTGTAAGGGCATCCCACTGGAGACCAAAGCCAAGTTCATCCAGACTATTGTATTCCATCTCACTATGTATGGGGGTGAAAGCTGGACAGTGAAGAAAGCTGCCAGGACAAAAATTGATGGATTTCAAAAACACTGCAGGAGGAGAGCTTTGCAAATACCCTAGCCTGATAGGAAGATGAACGAGTGTTTTCTAGGTTAAATCAAGCCAGCGCTTTCCCTGGAAGCGAAAAAGACAAAACTGAGGCTGTCATACTCTGGGCACATCATCAGAAGGCAAGACTCCCGGCAGAAGGCAATCGTGCTAGAGAAAGTGAACGGCAGAAGAACAAAAGAAAGACCAACTCTGAGATGGATGGACACCATAAAGGAAGCTGCAGGCTTCACTCCAGGAGAGCTGAGCAGGGCTGTCAGGGATAGGATGTTTCAGAGGATCCCGATAAGTCAAGGATGACTTGACAGCACATAACAACAACAAGAGGCAGCCTCTCCCTCTTGAAAAGTGATGGCCTCTTCGCCTTAGGAGGCCTAAGAGGGTGAGGATGCAGCATCTTGGACTTTTCAGCATGTCGGTGTGGACCAGGCCTACCTGGTGAGCTCAAATCTCTTTGCTGGTGGGCGGTGACGGAGCAAGGATTTCCGCTTTCGAGGCGTCTCTTCAGGGGGGAAGATGGGGCGAGCCAGAAGTAACACATTGGGGATTAGCATGTTGGGGCAGGTGCAGGCCACGCCGACAATCACTGTCTGGACTTGGTTGTGCACGTCAATCACCTCTCCTCGCTTGCTGATCTGTGGAGAACGGGAGCACGTTAATGCATCAGCTGCTTTTCAGCAAGTCTGGAGACTCCCTGCCCCACCGAAAGGAGCACCGCAACAGGACAGGACGTGATGCAGTCCAATTCTGTCATGCAGCTTCCATTCGGTTTATTGGCAGGTGCACAGGAGGAGAACTTGGCAAATTGCTCCCCCTGTTAAGCAGAATGCATGGGAGTTGTAGAGCAGGGTGGCTAGCCAAGGGGAAATACATCATGAAAAAGGACAGAAATCTATGACATAGTCCAAGGGGTATGTACAAACACACTTTAAAAACAATGACTACAATTCAAATAGAATTCCAAGGCATTCCCTTGTAGCAAGCAAGGTTGTGGCCAGGAAATCCAGGTACCCGTTTGATCTGCTGCCCAGGTTTTAGGTGCTGCTGGGCTGCTTAAAAGGCCCTGCTTGACTTCTCCCTTCTTAGGGTCCTTGATGGTTAGGATGGACTTGGACAGAACAGGCCTTCTAATGATGCTTTCAAATGGGGCAGTTCTCTGACAGCATTTAAAATAAAGAAATGTCCTTTGTAAAACAGGAGATGTACTTTGGGTTAGGGTAGAATGTCATGGACCAAACTGGATTAATGCAGATTTTCTGTCCAATGCACGCATTTCTAGTTAGTTAATCATGCGTGGGTTGTAATATGCATTGCTAAGTGTTTGTTCTGAGCTGACGCTTGTTTCCCTGGAAGGCCTTTTAGAGGAAGGAATGCAGGGCTTAGTCCGGCTGCTCACAGGAGTCTGTGATCAATCCCCCCTTCCTGCAAGACTGCCATTTACTTGCGGGGGGCAGGGTGTAAGGGTGGAATCACACCATTGCTAGTTATGGAAATAGACAGCATGTGCTGAAGTCTACCCACCCCTGTTCTGCTGTGACACCTGAAGGAAAATAATTTTCATCCAGCAATTTCAAAGAATCTGGCTTTCTCTTTCAAAAATATGTGTTGGAATGCGGGAGGAAAAGGCGGCTTTGGAAGGTTATAATAATCAACAGCAGGTGTGCTTCTTGAGAGCTGTTACTTTGTTTTGCGGACATATAATGCATATTGATATTGATTTGTTTGTTAGGCCCATTCTGAAATCTCAATTGTTGTGTAGGATAATAAGCCCGTACAATTACCAGCAGTTACCTGTTTTCCACCTCCATACAGAAGAATGAAAACAATGCGAACGATGTGTGAGTAACATCCCTCCAACATTTCAGAAATGAAAAATGGAGATGTGCATGGGGAGGGACTGTAAGTCATTCGTAAACACACTTTTGTACACCAAAGACTCCAGGTTCCATCATTGTCATGTACAACTCGAAAAGTAAGGAGTGACACTGATGGGCCACGGCTAAAGGGCAGATCACACGCTTTGCATGCCGAGGACTCTGGAGTCAGTCCCGGCTCTTCCGAAGAGGCCTGGGCAAGCCTCCTATCTCAAGTGCTGGAAAGCCACTGTGCATCAGGGTTGGAGACTGTGGCAGGGCAACTTCTGGCCCACCAGGCCAGCCACAGGACCTCAAGGAAGGCTTGCAGAGGGCAGGGAGAGGATGCCCCGCTGTTACCTGTGATCAAAGCTGAAAGCAGGGATCCCCTGGTGTGCTGCTTTTCTTCTAGCCACCAGATCACAGACATAACTGCAAAGTTTCTCCCAGCTGGGAGGTAAGTGCTAAGTGCTTCCCTGCCTCCCTCTGCCCCCACCCAAAGATGTAGGGCAGGCAAAACCACCGCCCCCGCCCCCAAACTAAGACATGGGATGGAGGTATTCTTTCAACTTGTGCTCACCTGGGGCAGCACGCTGGCTCCCTCCACTCTCAGCCAGGGCATCAGCCACCTGTCTCCAGCCGGGGGAAAACTGGTATGCCATGGAACCAGTTCCCTGGCCAAATAAATTCTGTGCCCCACCCCAGTGGTGTCGTCAGGGCTACTACCTGAAGGGTGGCAGAATTATGCTCCAACACATCTGGAAGGCACCAGGCCAGGAAAGCTGGATTTAATACAAAGAAGCGGCGGCAGCGGCTGCATCTGGTTCCTGTCCCACCTGCATTTGCTCACTGCAGAGCTGAGAGTAGACCTACTGGGGCGAGGAAGCCTGAGTAGGTGCCCCACCCCTGGGGCCCACAGGCAAAGAGGAAACACTAAACATGCCGCTGGGGGAAGGTGAGAAAAGAGCAAAGCCGGTGGAAAGCAGGGTGATTGTTCGGTCTGAGATATGTTACCTGTACGAATTCACTTTCCAACATGGGGGCGAGCTTGAGTAAGGCATACTCGCCCTGGTGCAGCTGGCTCTGCAAGGGTCCCATCTCCCTGTCAAAAAGGCCTTTGCCATAGTCACCTCCTGCTGAGACGTTGGGCAGCCGGGATCTCAGCATCTTCCCTCATCCTAAATTAACACAATGTACTATTAGAGAAGGGACCTGGGGGGCAGCTTCTTCCTTCTGCAGCTTTTCCATGAGCTTTTTAACTAGAAGTCAAATGCTGTATCTCAGAGCATCCTCTCTGCAGTAAATGTGGCATATGCTGTAAGACCCGAGACTGCTCCTGTAATTAATGTGATTGACATTTTAGACTGACCTTTTAATTTTATTTGAAATTCTGTCTATGTGTGCAACTGCTGCCTTCCCAGCTCCCCTCCCCTCTTATTGCTTTTGATCTTTTAATTTTATTTGGAATTCTCTATATGAATGTGATTGCTGCCTTCCCAGTTTTTTCCCCTTATTTCTCTCCTGCATCCCACCAACCTCCCCTTTTAATACATGGACATTTGGCTGTATTGTTTTAAAAGGGCGCTACGTTCTTCTCCACTGGAAAGACCCCATGCTTTCAACCATGCTACTCTCTGTGTTTGAAGTATTTTAGAATGGTTTCAGGAAGGTCCCTCTTTCTGGGCTTTGGGAAGAAAAGTCCCAGGTGCCTTTCCTTGTTTCTTCTTTCCCAGCCCTTCTGGGCTGAAGGGACAGATCCATGGAAACAGGGCTCAAAATGCCCCAAGTGGTTGGACAGACCAGAGAGAGTCATTCTGCCTGGAAAGAGCCCTATCTGAGATGCTTTCCCTGGGGAACCCATGTGGAGAATGGGCCTACCTCAAGGAAAGGTGATCCCTGTCCCATAAAAGCAACCTACTTTGTTTTTTGCCTCGGAGAACAATTCGCCCTCTTGTGGGGATGCGTAAGTGGCCACACACCAAAGGTGGAAGATTTCTGGCCCACAGAACTTCAAACTGTGCAGTGAAGATGTATTTCGGAAAGATCCATTGTATGAAAAAGTCCATACATTCAGGAAATGTGGGTGTAGCGAAGTGACTATGGCTGCAATCCTATGCACTTACTTGGGATTGAGCCCTGCTGAATTTACAAATAAACACGCACAGGATTGCACTATTTGAGAATGAACTACAAACCACAAAGGCACAAAATCTCATTTTGCTTCGGTCATGAATTCACTAGGTGGTCTTAGTCCCCCCGTCCCTCCCAACCACACACATCCGCAACTTAGTGACAATATCACTGACTTACATTATGGGGTTGTTGCAAGATATATAACTAGAAAATGCACATTAATGACTTTAAACATATGGAAGTATTATACCTATGCTAAGTCTGGGATCCCCAATGCAGTGGCACCCACAAAGCTCTCTACTCTTTAAAAAAAATTAAATTAAGACATTTGCAAAATGTTAACAATCCAGGTTCTCCTTCCTCTTTCTGAACCCGCCCCTGATCATCTGTTCAGGAGGAGGAAGAGAAGGAAAGAATTATTTCCTGGCCTCACCCAGGCCTGACCTGCTTGCTCTCTCCCCCTCCCTCCTAGTTTCTGGTCTTGCTATTTCTTTCTACCCAACCCCATCCTATTTATTTATTTATTTTATTAAAAGCTTTTCTATCCTGTTCCATATAATCATCTCGGGACGCCCTTTCTACTTTTCTCCCTTCCCTTCTTCCTTCTCTCCTGTTACAGCCCCCAGCTTGCTCCTTCTCTCCCACATAAGCCTTCATCTGGCCGTTTCCCTGCACTCCCACCCGCCAGAATCGCTATTTCTCTCCCCAGACTATTTACGGTGCTATCTCTTCCTCCTCAGTTCTGGCTGTGCTCTTTCTCCCGTTCGCCACACCACTCACCGTGCGATTTCCCCTCCCTTCCAGCCCTAAGCTGCACTGTTTCTTTCCCCCACACTTACTCTGTCTGGCTAGGCCCCCACAGCAATCTTTATGTGATTAACCACACCCCCTATTTTGTGCTGGTGCCCACAGTGGGTTCCCAGATGTGCTCCCAGGTCCAAACATGCGGCGGGCCCTGTGCTAAATATGATTAGAAAACCAGCATAGCGACTTGAAAACTAGGCTGACCATATGGGACCATTTCCTGGGGAATATTAAAAATATGACCCCTCCTATATCCTGCAGGATGAAGTGCTCAGTCTGCTATTTCATTTTGGATGCTGTATAGATGAACTCTTACAAGGGTGTCTTTCCCATGTTGAAGGGAACTAAATGATGCACTGCACTCTAAGCTCTTTGGAGGAACAGCAGGATACAATCATAATCGTAATAATATTGTAAGGATTTCCAGGCCAACTGTAGGGCAAAGACCTCCCAAGGCAGCTTACATAAAAAGGATAAAGCATAATTTCAACAAAATTCAATCACAGGAAAAACCACTACAAAAATCCTCATATAAAATGTAAAAAGTAGCATGCTCATACAAAATGTAAAATAAGAACAATTCAAAACTATGCCTTCAAAATCGACCATAATATAAAAAACTTTTTAAAGTCCAAGATTACATCTTAAATAAAAGTAGCTTATGGTAGCTGAGATTTCAAGACCCGTTGAAGAAGACAACACTGAGCTGACCACACCAGTGTGTCTTTGGCATGCCAAGTTATGGGGCTACCAGTGAAAATGCCCCAGCTCATTCATTCATGCAGAAGCATCTTCAAGGTGTTTCAGTCATCACTGGACCAGTCCAGATCCTTCCACTTTTTCCCCAGTGGCCCATTAATTCATCACTCAAGGGCAGCAGTGGCAAGTGATGAAGGAACCTGCCATTGTAAATCATGATGTTGTTTCACAAATTCAGCTACCATTCATCACCTGTTGAATAACCACATGATGTGCACACATGTGCATTAGGGACCATCAGTAAGGGATGGGTTCTGGCAACCTGGACAGACAAGCAGGCAACTGTTTACAGCAGTAATTTGTGCTGGGGCTGTCTGTTACCAAATGTTGCAGGAGCCCAGAGATGGTTTCTGTTCTGCAATGGCTGTGGTGACGATTCCTTTATTGGTTTATAGGACAGAGTAATCTCTGCCCACTTCAGAACACTGAGATCCAGGGCTTTTTTTGTCAAAGAACGCACCGGAACAGTGTTCTGGCACCATTTTTTGATGGATTTTTCCAAGTGATTGTGTTGGGCATAGCAGATCGGCGGCAGAAATCGGCGGCTGTTTGTGTGTCGGCGCTGATTGTAGGTGCTGATTGTGAGGGCGCTGCTCGGCCTGGGATCGGTTGGGTTGTGTGGACGCGCGCTGACTCAGCCAGCGGCGACCATTGTGTAAAAGTGTGACCCCAAGATGTGAGTTCCGGCACCTTTTTTTTTTTTTTACAAAAAAAGCAGTGCTGAGATCCACCAAACTAAGGGCATACACTGGGCCCAAGAATTTGCTTTGGACTACTGGAACTGAAGTCCTTCTACACAAAAATCCATTCCTGGTGCCTTTAAAGTTTTGTTTGCTGGTTTTTGTTTTCATTAAACAAAATTTGTATAATTAAATGCGGTATAGTGGTGGGGGAGGGGGGTCTTCTCTCTGCTATTTTTGTTAAACAACTGGGAGTAAGAAATTCTGGAAATCTCATCGACATCTCCAGTAGATCCTGGTATACCTTTGACTGCCTCCCAATTTATAGGACTTAACTACTCCCTTTATTACAGAGATCTCTGAGATTGCCATTTGAATAATCCTTGGCTATCGCAACACTTGCCTTCCATTCATAAACATGCCAAAAATCTGTGGATCTAGAACTCACTAACCGTCTTTTTGTAGCTTGCAATATATGGTCTTCTTCAGTGTTTACTGCCCACAGATGGTGGCCCCTTGCCCCACCTCTCTAGGTCTGGGTGGGGGGAAATGCTGTGATGTCACCATTGTCTCTGTGACCTTTTTAGCTTGAGTATAAACGGACAGAGGGGGGAAAGGGGTTGTGGGAGACTGGGAGTGAGAGACAGATTAACCTGAAAAAGTGGGAGTCTGCCACAGAAGGCCTTCAAGTGTAATGGCTGAGTATCTTCTTGACTATGTAAGTTATTCCAAGCCCAGCTCCTCAGCACTTCTTTCTTTTTTTGCACTCTGCCCCTCCTTGTCGAGCTGCAATCTCATTCTGGATTGCTAATGAAGAAAAAAATGTGTTGATAGGAAAATAGGGGAGGGAGAGATTGGCAGCCTGGCATCTTGGGCAGCGGTGTAATTGACCTGAAATTGAAAATGATGAGCACAGTGCTGGGAAGGGACGTGGTCGGACTGATCCTGGTGCCGGAGAGGACAGCAGGCTAGTTCAGAAATAGCAGCCTGCTCAGCTGGTGGCAAATGGTATTGAAGAAGGGCCACGTGATCCCAAAATGTGGCTGCCACTCTGTTTTAAAGGATAGAATAGCTCGGTGTGTTGAATAACTGAGTGACAGGCAGGGATTGAACAGGTGACACCCATTAGCACATCTCTATCAGTTGGAGAAAATTTTAGCTTTTCAGGTAGCTGTTACAATAACAGGCCCTCCATCCATATTGGGAAGGGCCAATTTTAATCAGACTGGCTGAGAATCAAGCGATGGCTGCTTATTTTTAACTGTATGATTTTTGTTTCATTTTGTTTTGTTTAGCCTATTCTGATTCTGGTGTCTTACTATTAAAGGAAATGAAAAAAGAAAAGGGAAAGGAATTATCAAAGAGAGGCTTCCCTTCTAGGTGCCACTAGCAGACTTTGTTGGTTTTAAGTTATCGCCTTACACTCCCAATATCTCAAAAGGGCACCTATATCAAGACTTTGTCAATAGGCATTAGAACAATGAGTTAGTCAGAGGACAGGTTAATCAACGGAAAGGTTTTTCCTTGTTTGATAAGCCTGAAATGCACCAAAAAGAGACTGGTGCTTGGAAGAATGGCATGTGACCCACAGGTTGTCAGAGCGCCTCATACTCTGATACGACCTCTTCAACATGTCTACTGGCCATTCTGGCTGGAGATGATGGGAGTTGTAGTCCAACCCATCTGGAGGGTATCAGGTTGCAGAAAGCTGCTCTGATAAAGAAATACTAGGCTGTCTGGACTGAAGGCAAGCCCCCGACTGACAGGGAAGAAGCTAAGGTGTGGCAAACA